TATATATGCTAATTGGCAATGTATAACTAATGAAAATTGCTATGACTTTTAAGTATTGCTGATAAATAAAAGTTTTCTGCAGTTTAACTAAGTTCAGCCATTACACTTGTTATATTCTTCTTCAGTATCTTTTAGAAGGCAGTGACCTTAAACGTTTATTGTGTTTATTTATATTCGAAAAACTACCCTTTTGATATACATAAAGAAGAATACAGAAAAGACAAATATCCATTTTTTCACAGTAATAAAAAAGGCGTTTTCTAGTTTTAGATATTGAATGCTATAGTGTTACGAAGATTTGCGAAGACAAAGTTATGAAACAAACTAAAGATAATTACATTTACTTCTGAGAGAGAAAAAGAGTTTAAGTAAATTCATAATCTTTTGGGTGTTTTTTCTAAATAGCTGTGATAGTTTACTCTAACTTCTGAACCATCTTTTCAGACTGTGTCATTCTAATAGATATTTCAGCCAAATTAGCCTTGGTTAACGTCGTGAAATATTCAAAACATCAGCAACCTGTTCAAAATGTCATAGCAACAGCTCTATGTTTTACTGACTACACAGAATATGATATACCTTGATGATCTTGTTAAATGTGTCGTTAAGAGGCACCAAACATTTATGCTTTAAGTTCAATTCATTTTGAATTTGAGGGTTTACAGTGATGAGTGTCAAACAACAAGGAAGTAGATGACCAGTGCTTCTTTGTTTTACTTTAGTGTTTTAAATGATATTATTTCATGATGTCCACCGCAGATGACATTTCTCAAAATCAACTATAGTAGCTAAAATGCATTCATTTTCTTTCTTCAGATCATGAGCTTATGCCCTGTTTCTCTTTAATTTATTGATTTTTTGAGAAGCATGTCCCCCATCATATTATCATCTATTATCTAGACTTATCTGTTTTAATTTTGTTAATTTGTTCCTAATCAAACGATATAGTTGTTATCGCAACGACTAACGAATGTAATACTGGATGGAAAATATATGTCTATAGAATGATAGAAAAGCTTGCATCATAAATTGATTCAAGACTCTTATTATTCGAATGAGGTTACGCAATGATCAAGGAGTAAGAAATAATATAAGGATGAAAATAATTTACGCGTCCGATAATTGTCCAATTGACAGATTTGAAGAAAAACGACAAACATAAAGGTCACAATAATAAAAACAAAACTAAATAATAATCAAGAAAATTTGTTTAAAGGTAATAGTAAATCACGAAACACCAATTTAAAAAGTCAGTAATAATAATTAAACAAAAAGTGAAGAAAAAACAGAGACATGTTATTAAAGGGAATCAAGGCCAAGGAAGGATGAGGAGATGGATGTACGGTTTTGCACTCACATTTCGGGTTTGGGTTGATGGATTGCCAATGCCTCAGCAGTGCAAAATCTTTTAATTCGACTTCCCTTCGATCTAATTCCTTTGATGTGTAGATTATTTTAAAAGAAGACTCCCATCGGGCGATGTATTCATAGTTGGTTAAATGATCGTGTATTGTACTAGTAATTGCTTTGCATTCTCCTTTTAAAAGTCATGCCTGGTAGTGTTCAGAGATGCGTTTGCAAAGTGATCGCTCTGTGAATTGAGGTGTGACAATTATTGAAATTATTCAAAATTTCAATGAGGTCCATATCTTCTTCACAAATAATGAACGTATCATCCATATAAATGAAATCTCTCAATTATTGGTCAAAGTACCGTATTGGCCATGAAACAATCTATGAAATATTTTCTTTTATCTTTGCTAATTATTTACTGAATAATTTGAACAAAACTCGAATTCATTATGCTATTTGTCACAGTATGTACATAAAGCACAGGGATGTGGTTCAAAAGTAGTTACTAAATGTGAAGTCGTACGAGTAGTAGGTCAAAAAAAGGATGAAGTACATCAAAAATGAAAAACTTTGTAATCAAATTCTATGAATGAAAAAAATATTGAGTAATCTTTATTCTGTATAATATTTTGAACAGTTATTTAATCAAAATTTGATTAGTTTGTAATTTCGTACTGCTGATTTTCAGGAGTGTAAGTTATTGTTCCCTGTTGTCATATATAGAATTTGAGGGGATTATTTAGATATATCTTTTAATTACAAGTTATAGTATATTGGATAAATGGCTAGTTGGGGAATCCAGAATACGCGTTTCTTCATATTGGAGAATCTCCAATTGAATGTATTTCTATCCCACTAATAATATTTATACTGAAACTTCAACCGGGTGTTACTCACCATTTACTTACATGCACAAGGATACAAATGTATCCAACTTGGAAGACTTAATCAGGAAGAAAAACTACTATTGGATTTCAAGTCTATCCTAATTAGTTATGAAACACTAAGTTTCATTAGTTGAATGAAAACATGTTGAATTTCGATTAGTTACCTCTTAGTCAGACAAAAATGACTTATAAATGATCATTTGTAATTCAGGTAGCTGTGATTTTCCCGTCAAATTTTAAACAAAATATCACAAAATTACTTAATTAAAAACTTTTAACGATACTTTAGTCATTACAAAATACTTCAAGGACATTTATGTTTAAATGTTTACAACACACTAAAGTACTTTAAAATTAACTACTAGACACTTGACCACGTAAACAAACATTAATTAGTTTGTTGTTTAAGATATCTCTAATCTAACAAACTGATCACAAATATAATAATTAATAAATTCTTCATAAAAGAGAACATTGTCAATCTACATTTGAAAGATGAATTTACGAATGATTTACAATTTCTACTTTAGTAATTATTTCACTGAATTATATTTTTTAAAGGCAATTGTTAAAGGATCTCTTTTTTGGTTATTATTTAGTTACTTGGTTTTAATAGTTGAGTTCATAAGTCAATTAAAGCTAGACCACAATGAAAAACTTGGAAGCACTGAATGAACGTCTCATTTATGAGACGTGCTGTTTTCAAATCACAATGTACATAAAAGATAAAGTAATATTTTGTGAATTAATATAGATATTCATCTGTCATTTATTTCTTCATATCATATACTCCATACAAGACATTAGTTATATTATAAAAATATACTGTCGACAAATGATAGTTAGCCGTCAGTTTAAAAAATTATCTTAGAATATGGTGAACTATTGAAATATGTAACTAAAATGTTTATCGTGATTTGTTTAATAGTAAATTTTTTATCAAAGTAATTCATGAATTAAGATATTAAAGGATAGAAAGTTTTTTATTTGGTACTTGTGGTCAACTAGGAAACTCTGGAAACCCTAATCCACACGTAGAAAATTACTTGATAATATATCCATAACTGTGTAACTTAGAATGGTGAATTGATTTCCTAAGGATTAACATTACTCAATTAAACACAAAGACAGTTTACATACTTCACATTAATTGAAACTAACAGTATTATTTTATTTTTGCTTATTTGTGTGTTTATCTCAGTCAATATTTGATATCTGTAGTTTAAATAAATACAGAATTAAACAGCAGATTTTTGCGATGTATCGACAAACATTGATGAGGATTAGTGTAAAGACGTAAAAAAATACTAGTCCATATTTCACAGCATGATGCATGTTTGAACATATTACGCTGTTTGGTTTATTCTAAAGCTATTTGTGTAAGCGAAATATTTTACTAAAATCATTGGCTTTTTTCTAGTAAATAAATCAGGTCACATGTACTAATATCAAATGACAGATAAAGGTTTTCAGTACAAACATTGACATGATATTTAACTATGCGAAAATTATGGATTAAAAATACATATCCTTTTCTAAATACAGATATAAAATTTTGTACAAATTGATTAGTTTTCTGACAGTTACTTGGTTTACAATTGAATTCATTTAAAAGGTAGATAAAACGTCTATTCAGTCAATCACTCAGCCACAATGTGAATAAATTTTTTAGTAATAGTTTTCTTGAATGAATTCTTTTTTATAAATGTTGTAATTTGGATCGATGTTTTAATTATTTATTCTCTGAAGAAGTATCTTACACTGAGTCACGAAACATCAGAAAATCTAATTTTCCTATTCACATTGAGATATTACAAATATATTAATTTATTTATAATAATCTACCAATGCTCAATTTATTCGAAATTATCAAGTTAGACCTTGGTAATGATACCTATAATTTCACAAAGTATTTAACTGGAAATTATGCAGAACACAAACACATTTGAATGAGTGAATTGATATGCCATAATTAAGAATAATTAAATTACAAATAATCTTAATGAATATTAAACAAGTTTAACAAGGTAATTTATCTTTCAAATGATAATTAAAAAAACACCATTTTAAGATAAAATAGTTGATTGAAGTTAGGCATTAACACTGTTGGATGCCGGCCATCTCAGTGGTCTAGTGGTTAAGCACTCGCGCGCGAGACTGATGGGTCCTATGTTTGAACCTTGGGAGGCGAGATCGTGGGTGAGCACTGCTGACGAGTCTCACAATAAAATAAAACGGCCGTCCAGTGCTTCCAAGTTTTCCATGGTGGTCTGAATGTAGAACAGAAGCTAAGTGGATAACGTAATGACGTTTGAAGCGAACGGTACTGAGTTCGAGTCTCAGAGTGAACGTTTCTATGCAATGAAAATTTAACAACAACAAAATAGTTACATATAAATTCACTTGGTATTGTTTAACCTGTATCTTCCCATTGAGGTTTAAGACTGCAATTGATCAGTCTGTTATTGGCATATGTGCATACTGTGTGTATGCCTCGATATTACCTTAATTCACAAGCTTTTTGTAAGCAATGATGAATAGTGGCTAGCAGTGGAATCCAGTTTGACGCGCGTTTCGTCCCAGAGTGAACATCAACTCTGAGATGCAGGTACATCCAGCTGACGAGTCCCAAATAGGACGAAACGCGCATCCTGGATTCCACTGCTAGCCACTATCCCTTGTTGTTTAAAACATTTGATATCCTTTTTTATTTTACAATAAAATGTTACTCTAAAGAATACAATAAACATTTGGACGTACATCTTGCATTTCTTTTTCAGTACGTATAACTTCCATTTTTCTTCCTAAAATTCTTCTTGAACGCTTTTGCATTGCTATTCGAAATTCATATTGTTGTTTCTTGTGCATCATAAGGGCTGGAAAAAAAGACAGTTTGTATTAGTTTTAGTAAAAGCATAAATATTAAATGTCTGTCGTCCACGTAATGGACGGTTAGTATATAGTAGGATGATTTAATGCAAGTTATTGATTAACTTATAAAAAACTAGTTTGGCCGTTAATGATGGCAGAAATTAAAGATAGATTTGATCATCTAGCAAAGGTTTTGAGATTTTAGTTTTTTAATTATATAACTAAATGGTGAATTTTTCTTTACATAAACTATTGTATTCTAGATGTCAGTGTTAACGTATGAGAAACAAAAATCCCATTAAGGACTTGAAATCAATTCTGTATGACACTGATAGGTTCTAATAAAGGTGAAATGATTAGGGCAGAGAAATATCAATTCACTAAATTTCATGGATTTACTTTACCTATTTCGAATATTAATAATATTGAAAGATAACATGGTCATGTTGTATAATCAAGGATATGTTCATATTTATAGGAAATAATTAGTGAGACATAAAGAAATAAAATAATAACTATCTAGAGCTAGAAACCTGGTTAGAAGGAATAAGCAATGACTGATTACAATTTAAGGGATTTGTGTGATTTTCAAAAGGTGAGATGTGCAAACATCGCACAATATGAAAAGTAGTCTTTTCAAGGTAGAAAAATAACAATTCAGTGATTAAGGATCATGTTCAGAAATATTGTGATTCTTTTTGTTCTTACATTATATACACATTGAAATTTATGTATAACGTGGTGTACTTATTTAGAGGTAACAGAAAATGAACAGTTGTCGATGTGTAATTTCTTTATAAGGTAATTCATTTTATGCATATTAGATGAGTTATCTTTAGCCCAAACGTTTATTCTATGACTGATTAGTTCAATGATTTTTCAATGTTTTAAGCGGAAATACAAAAAAAGATTTCTTCTGAGATCTATCATGCTTAAAACGTTCATTATCTATGGATATTCATTTTCCAGTAGACAATTTTCAACAATCGAGATTTTGTCTTTTGGCTTATAATTCAGAACATGCTAAGTTATTTTAAGCGGGTTATAACTGGACGGTTAACTTTATTGTCTGTTTAAAATTAATTGCGAGTAAAAGTCTCTTAATAGCAGGTAGATAAATGGGAAATAACTTGATGCCGGTCTATCAGTAGACATAATCATGTGATATTTTTGAAAGAAATTAGTCCAGACTAGTCACACTTTTTCTTTATATTATCGAAAAACATGTAAAACCTAAACAATTTGAATGACATTCCGGGTAAAAGTTTTTGGTTGGCAGTTAAATAATCTTAAATCTATACATGGAATACACTGTATGCATTGTATTCAACAATAATTAGCACTCATGTTTTTATTCCCATTTTCATACAATTGTCTGAATCTACTGGTACAGTTGTAGATCGTTCAAGCCATTTTAATGTCTCCCGTGGTCTGGTGGTTGGTGTTAATGGGTTTGTGATGAAATTAACAATTTTTTAGGTCAACTTAGTCTCTGATATTAAAATTTGACCATTACGTAGATCATATTTGTGTTAGAGAATGCAAGCCATTAAATATAATGAAGAAATTAATTCCTTAGTCGCCAACCTTCTGGTTGATACTACACCGTAAATTGAATACACTGCGTATAAACTCAACATACTTATTCAGTAATCGTTCACATTGTTTAGACCAATTCAGAAGAATCAATGTGTTGCACGATTTTAGAAGCAATAACTGATTGACAAAAAAGACTTAGTAATTGTGTTTACCAGCTGCTGGGGAGATCCAGAAAATTCTTCGAAAAAAGTCGAAAAAGGCTATGAAACCTCTGAGATACATCTTATCGAATCAGCATTCAATGGAAGCCTTACCAGAAACATCTAGAAAGTGAGAAGTCACATGTCGCATTTCTGATTGGATGATTACCTATACCGCTACTATGTTTAGTGGAGTTCCAGAATTTTCCTGAAGGCCGAGGCCATCTTAAATGCTATTAAAACCCTAGATTTCCTGTACCTAAACAAACCTTTGGAGTAAAGCGTTTCTTCCATATTTCGCGCCATTTCTCTCGTGTTCATGTTGCTGTGTAGATTTAGCCTGGGATTACTATAGAGCTTAGTAAGCCGAATCTAGCGTTCAAGTAGAAGACTTATCACCAGCGTAATGGAGAGTCAACCGAGAGACAACGGAAACAACGGTGTATTCACTGATGCTACCCTTTTTGAACCAGGGGACTGTTAACTTGAAGAAGACTATAATCTGACATAGATATTTGAACTGTTTATTGAGTAAATGAAGCTTAGGAGCAGGGTTCAAGTCAGTGTGGCTGAATACGGAACACACATTTCACTAATAGTACTCATTCTCCCCAAACCATAGTAGACAAAGTGACATTCAAACGTATGTCGAACGATTAAAACATAAACACCTAAATAATTAGGCTTCCAACCTAAATTCAATAGAGCAATGATTTAATAATATTTCAAACTGGAACTATGTACTTTTGTCAAATATATAAGAAGGTTTATTCACTAAACGTATAGAACATACCTTTTAACCACAAAAATAGCACGAAAAGTAAACAAATGTAATAAGATAAATTAACTTTTGCATTTGTGACTATGAATGACTAATCAAGCTGTAACAACAAGAATGAGATTTGTCAAATTAAAATAACTGATTTTCTCATACATGTAAAAATGAGATAAAACATTTATTTAGGTTTCGCAGAAATACCTAAATGATCTACATATTATGATGATCTCCAGTTAGTAATTGGAACTTTCATTTAATAATTCAGCTAGAGCCTGGACATACATTTTTCAGGGTAAAATCCGTTTGCTTGAGTTTATTTATTTGAACACATAAATATTGGTACAAACGGGCACCAAATAGATATGCGCCACACAAGTCACTTGATTTGTGTATGCGCTGTGGTACTGTCTGGGTGCCCAAACCGAAGCAGGTGGTTTTCTTAGTGTGCCACACCCGCAGCCTTCGACATAAAGGTATGATCCACAAGGCAGTGGATCAACGTCAAGTGATGCATTCCCATGGTAACCGGTGACCAACAATTAGTTCATATGCCATTTGGCCCTTTAGGATACTGGAACCTATGTGCACCACTGATTTGGAATGAGGGTTTTCCAACCCCCCAGGGTGAACTCTCCGTGTCCACTAACTCAGTTAAAGCGCCGGACATTTGCTTTTCGTCCTCTCGATTTCATAAACAATAGTAATGCCGCGAGAAGGCAGTGAGTAAGACTTCTCTGGCAGTGGTTGTATGCACATCGCCATGTCAGAGCATTTCGAGAGGAAGAGCTGACTCTACCTACTCTCGGCTGTACCAGGGCATTTGGAAGTAATCATAATATAATATAATATACTTAAGTTAAAAAACTCATGATTTTCCATCAAATTCTGTCATTTTTTCTAAAGAAAAAATGTATTATTTATATAACTAAGTTACTAAGCTACCCAGTTATACGTAACCTTTTATTGTCAAAAAGCTTTGAAATTATGATTATTCAGTAATTGAAACTGAAATCTTTAAACTGAATCCATTTGAAGATAGACGTTCATTAGGACCATAAATATTTTACTTTATAATACTATTTTAGACATTAAACATTGTATCGTGAATAAACTAGTTATTCACTTCTCGATATCGTACATAGTGAAATTACTTTGTTGTTGATTTCCAGTCACTTAGATAAAAGATTTGGAAATAAATGTAATGTATAGATCATTCGAATATATGAGTATAGTTAACGTAAAATCATGGATCATTTAAGTTTAGTGAATATGAATCTTGATCTGATCAATGTAGTAAATGATGTTGTTTTCTTTGTAAACTTTTGGAAATGCTCATAGTATAAAATAGAACAACATTTATAAGCGAACATTATTGTTTTCAATTAGATTTTCATCATGCTTTACTCCAATACATAGTCATATTTATATGCATATACGAAATTATTAAACCAATCAACGCAGTTTTTGAGTCAGTGATATTAGCGGGATAGATTATATAAATTAACATAATAAGTAAAAAGTGCCAATTGACAGTATGATGACAAGTGAACTAGTTGTAATAAGAATAATGAAGACTTGAATTAATGTTTCATAATAAGAAATGGGCTGATGAACAAAAAAGTGTGGACAGTGAAATAACATTCATTAAAAATCATAAGATTATGGAATAAGAAGTATTCAGATAACTGGACAATGAAGCGTAAATTTGTAGAAAATGATTGGACAAAGAGTATGGAAAATCATAGTAAATAAAATCTATTACAGCATATTCAGCTAAAAAAAAGAGATAAAGGTGTTACGAATCTCTTATGAATGCAAAGATCTGAATTGTTATCTTGAATTCCCATAATTTCTGCTATGTGTAAGAGACGAGATCGAACTCCCTAAGGAAAACTAGCAGGAATACGATAAATCACCTTAAATAATCTATATATACTATATAACGGCTATCGATCAAGTATGATAGAACAGAGCTGCGTATTGTTTTGACTATACTCTGTCCTAACCACGAAGGGTGGTAATCACCAACTCTGGATTACTTGTCTGATTGTGCTCCCAACATAGCTTTATCCACGGGAACAGCCGAATACGTAGATATACATGGATGTGGAAAACTAGGTAACTTATCCTCTAGTCGACAAACCACCATAGGTCGGCTGGATAACAATGGACAGAGGTTAGTTGCATGAAACATTCTCTTCATTGCTCTAGTCAGTCTATCTCGACTGAAGGTTTCTTACTAGCAGTTCCTAATTTCTCGGATCTACTTTTTTCCAATGACAATATGTCCCATGAGTTATGATTTTATCTCCTAATGTAGATTTTTTTGCAAAAGATTAAAAATCGATTGTGTGCATTTTTAACGAACCTATTTGATTGAGTGACTGTCATTCAAGGGTTCTAGAATAAAAGTAGATTTTGTTTCAGCGTAAAGAGTTCTAGTACGTTTCAGGATACCTATCAGTCTCCATACAATTATTGATGAATTCCAACAAAGTTTTCGCTTCTGTGAGACGAAGACTAAACGTTAGGAACATAAAAATGTTCTAATAAAAATAATTACGTTATCATATAAAGCACCATAGAATTGATATTATTCTAGTACACAATCAACTAAACGAATCACAATGTGTTTGCATTATAACCTATTTACTGTAGAGATAAAATATTTCACTTATTAGCTTACCATTTATAATTCGGATAATCCGCCATAACAGTAAAACAACCATTGCAGCTGCAGTTTCGGATACATAACGAACATACAGTACATCGGAAGCTAGAGAGGCTACTATAATTGCTCCATCAAAGTACTGAAAAATAGAAAAATCAATTAGAAATCGAACAGTAGTTTCTCTTCGTTTAAAATAAAATTGATGAAATCCTTACTATTTTGCTCATCAGATTAAAATGTATTATTTCTCGTTTTATCACAGATATTCTAAATAAACATACAATGACAGTATGTACACAAAAAATTGTTTAACTTCGGTTGGAAAGCTACATTCATATAAATGCTCACTTTTTGTCACTCAATGTAACGCAGGCCTGATAGTTATAATTGTAATAATTATTTGTGATGATACTTTCTAATAAACAAATTAATATGGTACCTCATCTATATTTCATTTCATCAAAAAAGTAATTCAACTGTTAATAAGATTAGGATAAAATATCAGAGTTAGTTAGTGGAATATAATCAAATTCAAATGATAGTCTTGATATTAGATTAAAATGTTTAACCCATACAGACTTGTACCTTCAGCTACACAATTAGTATTTATATTGGACTTCAAAATATACTATGCTATTACTGTTTGATTGAAGATTTTAACTGAACATTAAATGAACAGAGAAAATCCAATTCTAGTCGTTCTTTAACATGTAAATGCTTTTATTGTTATACAATTACAATCATTGAGATGGAGTATAATACTTAAAAGTGTTATCAGTCTTTAATTACACTGTAATATATATTTAAGCTGAAAACTTAACAACAGCTGCATGGGCCTATCTGTAGGTCTCATAATCAACGTGGAATTAATCAGGACAGAAAAATATCAAGATGCGAATACTAATTAGATTATAAAAGAAAAATATATTGTTTATGATTATGTTTGTCACTTACTTGCGTAAGTTCATTCAGTAATAAATTTAATAAAATTCTCAGTACAGGGATTTATGGAGATTGTAGCATTTTCACAGTCGAAATCACGAGTTGATCTAAAATAGACTATCATTGAAAATCCGGAAGTATTGAAAGGACTTTTCGTCCTGATACGGAATTCCTCAACAGTGAGCATCCACAGTACTGCACCCAGGACTCAAACCCAACACCTGTCTCGCGCGAATGCTCAACCCCTGAACCAATGAGCAAGAACACAACCGTGTTAATATCTAACTTTCATCAATCCATGACCTGGGTTTCAGTCTCGCGTGAGAGATCGTGGATGCTTGCTGCTAAGGTGTCCCATAATTACTAAAATTAGTAATGTAAGTAGTGAGAGTACGTATGGATACGTGTAACCATTGTTCTTATAGACTATAGTAAAGTTATCCAGTTATCACTATTTCTGTGTTTCTGGCCTATTATCTATTATTCACATTAAATAATAAACAGAAAATATATAGAAATAAAAAAATTTGTTTAGATTTGTTTCTAAGTTTTTCAGTGTTTTATAAATCTGTTTAAAAATAAGTATGTTTTGATATTAGAAGAATAACTGCATAAAATGTACTCAGCTACCTATCAGAAGATGTCGTCTGAAAAACGCGAATCTAGAAAGCATTTTCTACTATGCAACAAATCCAGAAGTAAAAGAATGTAAATAAAAGTATATACAGAGTAGAAAAATATCTAAGACCAGTTGAATCCCGTAGAAATATACTTTATTATTCATAAGAAAGATTTGAATAAACCAAACCCATACTCAGGCATAATAAGGTTAGGTCCTGGTTAGAAAGCCTAAAACGCATTTCTAAGAATCACAAATGCTGTTGAATCTATGTTTTATGTTCGTCCTTCTTATTATGTAGGTAGCCAATGTCATGTCATTTCGGTCAAGGTTATATATATATATATATATATATATATATATATATATATATTTGAAATTTCAGGGATGAAAAAATGAGACTTTCGTGGTGCGAAAGGATAGAGTTCAATTTGTGTGTATGATAATAGTGTGAAGTGTGAATAATATCAGACATGGTAGCTTGAATAGATGGTCCAAGTAGGAAGTGTGGAAAGTCGTTCTTTTCTATCGGGAGTAGTAGGATTAAGCATTATATGGAAAGCTTCAGTTACTCTCCTTTCTATATAGTTGGAAAAGCCTTTTTGTAATATCAGAAGGGGTTTTGTGGAGATTATTAGAAGTCATGAGTTAATTGAAGCTAGACCACCATGGAAAACCCAGTGACTGACTTCAAGAGGCATTTCCTGGAGTTCAAGTGAGAAGCCGTTACCAGTGGAGTTCAACCAGGTCTGCTGTGAGATATCAACTCACTGAAGACAATGGTGAACGGTGGCGCAACTTCGTGGATTGATTGAAGTTAGACAGTAACACCGTTGGATGCCAGCCGGCCTAGTGGTCTAGTTGTTAAGCGCTCGCGCACGAAACTGATAGGTCCTGGGTTCGAATCTCGTGAGAGGTGGGATCGTGTATGCGTACTGCTGAAGAGCCCAATACTAGGACGAAACAGCCATCCAGTGCTTCCAGCTTTCTGTTATATTTTGGTGTTTTTGAAATCCATTTGTTGGTTGTTGAAATTTAGCCAATCATGAAATCACTTTACTAGAGAAAGGATTAAATTTCAATTTACATAGAAAACTACTTGGCACTCATGAAATTCCTCCAATTATATAATCATTTTTCGAACAACTACGTGAAAAAGAGTCTCATCTACTACGTCAAAAGATTAAACAAAAACAATTTACGCCTAACATTTTAGGAAAGGAATTGAAGACTCTACAGTGGCTTCAAAAAGACAAAACTATTATAATCACAAAGCTGACAACGGCAATATAACAATCGTCATGAATAAAATATATTATATTAACAAAGCCTTTGAACATCACTCTTCAGGACAATATGAAAAAGTCAATCCAAAAAAAATTTCTAACGATTAAAAATAAAGTAAAATCAGAGATAAGTCAACTTTTGAAAGAACTATTATCAGTCATTGATGTCTCATTGTGATTTGTTCTATATCCCAAATCATGCAATACTTCATGGTTTTATGGTTTACCTCAAATTCATAAACCGGACACGAACACAGCAACATATGCATTATCAAAATATATGAGCAGCATTATTAAAGCCACTAAAAATTAACTTACATAATAAAATAAAGTGTTTCTATGACTTTAAAAAATATCGGAATTAATTGTCGAAAAGAATGAAATCATGGTAAGCTATGATGTTGTTTCTGCATACGCTAGTATCCCTATTGATAGATCCATTAGTGGTTTACCAGAGAACGACATTACTCTTTCTGACAGACGTCTTTTAGGTATTAGTTTTATCATGAAATCCTTTAAACTTTGCTTAAATTCAACACTACTTACTTCTAACGGGACATTATACAAAAAAGTTAACAGTGTAGTAACCTATTTATGGCACAAATAGAATCTAATATTTTCACCGATGACATTAAACCACGAATTCGGCTTAGATATATAAATGATATGTTTGTTATGATAAAAAACGACTTATCAAAACTGTTCAATACACTTTCAACTCACATCAAATTTACGAACGAGAATGAAAATGAACATGGCAGTTCGGCGGTCTGCTCAGATCTCTGGGCTACCTGTTCCTGCCATCTGGATATTTCAACAAGTTATCTGTTTCTTTGCTTGATTGAACGGATCATTATGTCAATTAACTGCATAACCTATTCAGGTGCGCCTGTGAAAAGTTAACGACCTTTCGCTATACAAGTTACAAAAATGTACAATCGGAGACATCGTGCTGGTTTACAATACGCAATCAAAAGAATGAATATTATTTAAAATGTCGACTACTGATCTGTTAACATGTAACTAGAAATCACTCAATATTTATCGTCAGTATCGATCAAGAAATATAAAACGGAAACTCGATGAAATACTTTGTGATGAGAATTCTATTTGTACCAAAATATTGAATATTGAATAAAGTTAGTAATAATAAATGATAAATAAAATACCATTTTTAGATTGTTTAGTTAAATGAAATCTAAATGAAATTCTAAATCTATCCGTCTACCGAAAACCTACATACTCAAATCGTTATATCGACTTCAATCCAGCGTATCCATTCAGTGCAAAGATCTGACTAGCCTTAAATATCTTTAGAACAGCTAACAAGAATATCACATCGGAAGAGGATAAACAAAAAGAACGAAAGAATGTAATAAGCATCTTACAATTTAATAATTTTCATATGAACATTATTAGAAGTGTATTAAAACGGGACGTTTCACTGCATTGCTGTTTTACCACACCGCCATAGTACAACAGAAGAACTCCAAAGAATTTTAAAACAACACAAAATTAAAGTATATTGCAAAACAACGAACACACTTCGAAACACTTTAGTTCGCTTAAAAGAAAAACCCCCCTCTATGTCAACGCAGAACTGTGTGTACAAATTAGGATGTGTCGATTGTGACGCCATTTATATTGGAGAGTCATCTCGTGAAATCTAGACTCGAGTCAAAGAACATATTAGATACGCAAAGGAACCACCTATAATCACGTAGAAGTGGATAAACTACAACTTAAACCAATAATAGCCGTTCACACCAATTTCAACAACCACCAAATCGATTTCAAAAACGTCAAAATATTACAAAAAGGCTTTTCCAACTATATAGAAAGGAGAGTAACTGAAGCTTTCCATATAATGCTTAATCCTACTACTCCCGATAGAAAAGAACGACTTTCCATACTTCCTACTTGGACCATCTATTCAAGCTACCATGTCTGATATTATTCACACTTCACACTATTATCATACACACAAATTGAACTCTATCCTTTCGCACCACGAAAGTCTCATTTTTTCATCCCTGAAATTTCAAATATATATATATATATACAAATTTACATACATTTCACTTATAAATAACCTTGACCGAAATTACATGACATCGACTTGTTCAGACCTTTTTTGATTGATCGCACATAATATTCTTGCGCTGTACTATTTGAACTTGGATTAATTTTAATTTCGTTATTTATTCTCTAAAGAAGTGGCTTACAGTCAGTCACGAAGTATCAGAAAATCTAATTTTCCTACTCATTGGAATATTGCACATATATTATCAT